TACTGTACTGCCTACGCCAGACGCGAGTCGAAGATGTCGTGTCGGATGTTGATCATCAATGACATGTACATCATGGATGTCTCTTTCGATGTTGACCCCTCTGGCCAGAAGCGTTGGGCGCGGCGTCCGGGCGGTTTGTCCATGCGGCTGCCGTTGACATCAATGAGAGTGCGTTTTAACCTGATAATTCTACTCAGGGTATGCCGCGCCAAGCATTGCCTGCGGCCGACCTTTTCCCTCTCTTAATCAAGCGCTCTGTCGAAACATCGCCGTCTGCCGGCATGTCTAGTTGTGCACTCGTCCGAAGAGGAGACTCCCTCGCAGGATTGGATAGTGGCGCTCCAGCAACGTGGCTATGTGTTCCTGACCTGGGGGCCCCTCCAGTAAATGCGATCAGCAGCTACTTTCAGCCACGTTCGTCTCGCGTCTAAAGATGTCGGTGTTTGGTGACTGTCCGCGCTGGGTGCCCGTAGGATGTGTGGAGAGGTGCAGCTGGCAGGCATGGGCGGCCGCATTGTGACGGGTAGGGACGTGGTCGACATGTATATGTGGTTGAGGTGAGGACAGAGGCGTGTAGACGACGATAAGACGGCGAGCGCGCATGCGCCCATCGCGCCGTTATCGAGACAGGGAATGGCTGGAAATGGGCATTGCGGGCAAAAAGGGCTCGAGGGATGGCCGGAAAAGGCTAGAAGGGCCAAAATGATGATGGAGAAGGGGGCGGCGTCTAGGACGGCAACGGACATCTCGAATCTGGGTCACGGCCGTTCGGAGTATGGGAGCTGCTAAATAAAACAGGCTTCTGCCGCACGCCCTGGCTCGCATCCACCTTTCCCGTCCGACCTCAAGGTCGCCGACCTTTCCCCTCGTCCTCCACGTCCTCGACCCGGGTATCCGGCAGGTCTTTTGCCCCTTCCTTTCCTTACCCTCCGCGGTTTGCTTTCTCTCTTCTTCACATACAACGTAATAGCCACATCTCTGCGCTCGACCACCAGCTCTCCGACGGACAAGACGTTTTCTCCCTAGCCCAAGTCCTGTACCCGCCATGTGGGTAAGGACAGTCCTTCTCTCCCTCCTGGCATTAGCCCAGTGGGGGTCCGCCTCGCCGTACCGCGCAGACCTCGTCGACTACAACATCAACACCAACCAAAATGCCCAGACCCCGACAGACTACTCGACCAATAAACGCTCCAGCTACACCAAGTCGCCACCCAACTGGCGTGCAATCCCCTTCTACACCGTTCTCATGGACAAGTTCGCCGATGGCGACCCTTCCAACAACGACTACTTTGGAACGATGTACGAGTGGGACTGGCGGGAGACACAGCTTCGGTTCGGTGGTGACTTGAAGGGCCTGGTGTCCAGATTGGACTACCTACAGGGCATGGGCATCAAGGGTATCTTCATCTCCGGGACACCTTTCCTCAATATGATCTGGCAGGCAGACAGTGCGTATTCCCTGTCACGTCGCCCTAGATGCGTCTCGGGCTCATGTTTCACGTTCCATCAATCGCGCAGGCTACTCGCCGCTTGATTTCACGGTGCTTGATCCCCACTGGGGAACGCTGGCCGATTGGCAAGCCGCCATCGACGAGATCCATTCCCGCGGGATGTATATCATGGCGGACTTCACAGTTGGTACCATGGCTGACCTCGTCGGCTTCAAAGGGTGCGTTCGTCTCGCGCTCTGAGCCTCGAGTTTGTGCTCATTCGCTTCAGTTTCCTGAACGAGTCCACGCCCTTCTCATTAAACGAGTACGATGCAGTTTGGAAGGATCCTCTCTATACGCCCTGGGGATTCCAGGAGTACAAGGACTTCGCTGTGCGGCGTGAATTTGACTGTCACTGTGCTGCTGGCTAACGCATCTGCTATGCCGTCCCTAGGTTAACAACGCCTGGAATGACTCTTGCCAACTTCCCACGTTCTGGGGAGATGACGGAACCATTCAGAACATCGGTTGGACTACCGGCTGCAGGGAGTCCGATTTCGATCAGTACGGTGACATGGAGGCGTTCGGTGTTCACCCTGACTGGCAACGTCAATTAGCAAAGTTCGCGTCAGTACAGGACCGGCTGCGTGAATGGAAGCCAGAGGTTATGGCAAAGCTCAAGACTTTCTCGTGCATGGCCATCACCGCTCTCGACATTGATGCCATCCGTATCGACAAGTCGACCCAGGTCACCGTAGACGCTCTTGCAGAATGGGCTTCCAGCACCCGTGCTTGCGCCGCTGCCCTGAACAAGACCAACTTCTACATCCCTGGTGAAGTTACCGGTGGCGACACGTTCGGTTCCCTCTACTAGTAAGTTTAGGCTTGCATTCACAGGATATGGAAGGCGCACGTCAAACTGATCGCAATCTGACAGCGGACGCGGTCGTACGCCAACTCAGCGGCCCTCGGGCTTCCTGCAGGCGGCAAACACGACGGCTGATATGGATCA